TTTGCCACGTTTTTTTTTTTTTTAAACTTTCCCAGTGTCCTAGTGGCTGCTGCACTTACAAATGGAAGATTTATAAGGGAAGTTATATGTTGTTTTATGTCATTTTCTGATAAACCCCCTGGGCCACAATAAATGACTCTCATGTCCCAGGTCTAGTTGGTGCCTTAGTAACGTCCACAGAATATTAGTGCATTCATCAGTTAGGTTATTCTGACCAAAAAACATTTTCGTATTTGTCTTGGGTTTTAACATGTATTTCTTAGACTAGCCGAATCAGCATTAATCTGATGCAGTAAAAACACGAATTTTGGGGCCCTTCCCCAATAAATGGGTTCAGAAATGTGGCATCTGGGGAGGGTGAAGGAACTTGTGTTTTCATAGGTGATACACACTGGTTTGAGAACCTTTGCTATGAGTGGCTTAGTTGCCTTCATCTAGGACAGGTGGGCATTCCGTGTAGACAGAAGTGCTGTTATTATTTGTAATCTCAATTAAATGGTGCATATAATTTCTCCAGTTGATACACTAGAGCCAAATTCTGTATGTTTACACAAATGTAATTCATGATTCATGCAAGTCACTTGCCAAATGGAGATCTGAAGGGGACCCTGGGCAGGGGAGGATACAGAAGAACATACATATTGATGCATGTTGGAATAAAAATACCATAATTTACTTAGTTTTTAAGTTTGTTCATATTTTCATTAGCATATAAATTGTTTCAAATTAATGTTATGGAAGATAGGAAAGTGAGTTTGTTTTGAGTAGATTTGTCAATATACTTCCAAATTTGTCCAGTAGCTCTAAAAAAATAACTTTTAAAAAATGTTATGGTTATCAGTTTACATTGCAACAGCAATGACATCCTATGCCTTATTGGCACTGTAGAAGAGGGCTCCTGAAAAAATGACAACACTGATTGGATTCTTTATCTCAGTTTTCTTCATGGGATAAATGGCATATTACCAACTGGGATCCTTTAAAGGATCCAGGACAAAGTTTGTTTTCCCTGCATTTGTTTCCTATTCACTTTACATTTGTAACTCTACCATCTACCTAATTTAAATTGGAAGTAGAATTGAGTTTCCCTCTCCTCCATCACCCAGTTAAGTACTGAAATCACTCTAAATCTCTGCTTCTCGTAGCATTCTCACTGCCACCGTCCTGTCAAATTCTCATACTTTCTAGCCTAGATCCTTGCAATAGTCTTTAAGGGTCTCGGGGCTTCTGATCTTTCCATCTCTAATCCATCCGACAAAACACTGCCTACCATTTATCCCAAATACCATTCCAACTAGGCCACTCCCCTTCTCAAAAACATTTCAACTACTTCCTATTAACTACCTAATGAGTCTAAAATCCCAGCATAGCATTTAAAGTCATTCAAAATATGCTTCAACTCTTTTTTTTTTTCTTATTCAGCTTCTCTAACCTGAAATGCCTGATATTGATGGATAAGTACTACTTACTTTTCAAGCCTCAGTTGCCTATTCCTCCTGTTCATCCTTTTTGATTCCCAGGTAGTTCTAACTGCTTCCCTGGGTCCTCAGCACCCAGCTTTCCCTTTTATAAACAACTTATTTTTTGGTCATAGACTTATATCTAGTTTAGTTATGTCTTTTTTGATTGTAGGATTTTGGACAGAAGAACTAATTTTCAAACCATCCTAGGACATAACACCTTAGACACAGAAAATATACCATATTTGTAGTATTCTTAACTCTAGGAAAGAAGCTCTTTCAATACAAACTCCATCTATATGAAATACTTTAACAAAAACATTGGTGATCAACTTCTCCACATTTTTTTCTGAGAACCAGAAGAGGGTGTAACTTTCAACCTAAAGGACATAGCTTGGAATCCAAGAATGAATTCCCTGGCATGCCTAATGGAATAGTTTTCAGTGGGGATAAACTTTAACACAGATTAGTCTCAGCCAAATGTTGATAAGGGCAATAAACCCAACAGCTCATTTCTTCCATTTATTATTACCTTTTAAATTTTAAATCATTCCCTGACAACTAGATACAAGGTTTCATCTCATTATTGCCTACTTATAACTTTGACTCTCCAATGCTGCCCAAGCACCCTGCTTGCACCTTGGTGTATGTGGGGATTCTCAGACCTGAGCAGTAAAGGATTCTGGGAAGGATTTCCTGGCCCTATTTTCTCACCTGGAGGATTTTACAATTGGGACACGTCCTTGGTTGTCATCTCTTCTCCTGAGCCCCAGAGGGAAGCACACTGCCTGCATACTGCCCTCTCACAAACACACACAGGACTTGTTTCCTGTTTTCTTGTTAAGGCTGAAGTCCTGGAAGTCATGAGTTATTTTATTTACCCTGTGTTCCTGGTAAAATGCATAGCCAAACAAATATTTGCTGAATGAATTCATCAACTATTTTTGTACCGCTGAAAAACCTGGGAGTTGACAGCAACTTTGAGGGATCTTTAAGAGACCAGATTGATCTCTCATTTACAAGTTAGAAAATACCTTAGAGGTCATTGTCAGGTAGTGCTTACTGTGCACTAAATGGCACATTTGGATTGCTTTAAGAAATTTAATTAAAAACACAGTGATGGTACACTGAGATCTTGTTCAGCATTTCTAGGTTTCCACATCTGTAAATATGAAAGACTAACAGTATCTACTCATAAGTCTGTTGTGAAGACTGCATAGCTTAGAATCTGTAAAGCTCTGAGAAAAGTACCTAGGTGCCCTCATTATAAGCACTCAGTAAGCAAGAACAACTATTACTATTACTTGAGGTCTCCAATCACTTTTGCAAAAGAGGGACAGAAAAACCAACTGCACACAAATTTAAGTGGTTTATCTTTTATTCATACAAACAATACATACACAAGACTCTATATTGTTTGAAGACTGAAATAATTTTCTAGTGTAACAACTCTGTAACAAAATTTAACTAAATGTAACATTTATGAAAATATAAATCTCTGATTGGGTAATTCTTCCCAACAATACAAAGTTTACATAAAAACATTCAATATGAGCTATCAGTTGCAAACAAGTTAGGAAAAAAATCATTCAAGTCACTTGTTATACTCTATTGGCTTTTACATAGAACATTCACACACTACATTTAATCCATCTAGGCATTTACTTCTTAGAAATGTATGGTATGGAGGTTCAACTGATAGTGACAGGAATAAGTATGCATTGCCTGAAGAACTAAAAGCATTGACTCATACAATCTACTCCAGGTGATTGGTATGTGGGTCTGAGCCCTCCCTGGGCTACCACCTCCATGTCTGGAAGCTAATCTATGAGTAATGTAGAGGAGAAAATCTTTCACCATGGAATGGGGTGTTTATATCTGAATCATATCTTTGAAGGCTTACGTTAAACTGCTTTCCCAAGTGAAATACAGTGGATTTGGATTCTCTCTATGTTAGATCATTTTTTTCTCCATTAGAATCAACAATCAAGATGTCTTTTTTTTTTTTCTGAAATTATTACTCCAACATCCCTAATAGGGCTTCAGCAGAACCCATTACTTTATTTTGCAGTTCACAAAAGCAACACACTGGTGAGGTTTAAGATCTTGCCAGGCATCCACAGTGAGTTCATGGCAGAGGTTCACTGGAAATAGGTCAGTTCCTTATTCACTGTTCAAGGAAAACCAAACTGAACCACCTCTACTGACCCCTGTGAAAAGTTATCCAAGGACATGCCATGTGGACCATATGAAAGGAAGTCAATCACTTTGACCTTCTGAGATGTATATTTTTTAAATAGGTGCAGTAGAGTTTAAAAAATATTTAATGCCATTTCCCAGCTTCTGCTTTGAAATGGTAAGACTATAAAAGGTTCAGAAGATTCCTCAGTCCAGAAGTGTAACAGAGAAAGAAGCATACGTACGGTGTGTGGAAGTAAGAAAGTGGTTACAAACAGGGACAATAAAGAACCTTTGGACACCCTTAAGATTTCTGGAATATTTTAGCACAAAGACAGGCATATTAAGTTTGTCCCAGAGTATTTGGTCATCTATCTGCGTTTAACACAGGAAAGAAGAGGAGTGAGAGTAAGGCAAATGTCATCAGTGTTTCAGAGATGGCATATTAAGAAAGCTTGCTTTCTATTGATGTATACTGCAGGGATGTAGGAAATAATTTATGCTTCCATATAACTGATTGAGTAGTACATATTCTTGTTAGTGTGACGATAAGAACAAATAGGTGTTTTGATTGAATTTGTAATGCCCTTTCTGTAATTCTTTAGACTCAGCACAAATATGCATTTCAAAAAAAGATCTGAAAAGATGGTGATTTCCTATTAAGTGTTATATTGCAACTCAGAAAATAAGTAGTTTAAAAATCATATGTTCCATTACAGAGAAACCCTTGCATGCAATCGTTGGAACTGTATTTTATTAAAGACTGACTGACTCTCCATGTTCAATAGCCCTATGATAGTGGTAGTTAGTTCTTGTCCCAGTCCAGTTCATGGTCTCATATTTTATGTTGTGTCTCTTGGGAAACTGGGAATACAACTGGGCATATTTGTTACATGATTTTGCACCTTTAGACCTTTCATTTGCAGACTAGGTTTACACAGTTGTCAGGATCGGAAAATGTAAAGAGAGATTAAGGCTGTGTTTTACTTATCACGAAATCATTTGGAATCAAACAACTCTTTGTCTTCATGATTTCAACTGGATTTTGTAGAACTAATTTCAGTCCAAATGGTTTTCATATAACTCTAGTCCCTCTCATCTGAACCAATGGAATGACCTATGATACTTCTTACCACACAGCTAATTTAGAAGCTTTTTCAAAATCCTCTCTCTTCCAGATGAAATAACTATTTAAATCTCACTTCTAGAAATTCTGTCATCCCTCCATTCCTAAATATGCCTTGACAAAAAGGTGGCACCCAAAAACCAATCTCACATCTGTTTCATGAGCATGTTAATAAGACGCTGAAATGCCAGCATCTTTCCTGTCTCTTAGTAACGAGTAGTATATCCTTGGAGATACAGAAGATACACTTGTCTTTTCTTCTGTATGTTGATTGTGTATTTCCACTGGGAGGGAGAGACATTTTGTCAGTTATCAGGGGCATAGCTGTGACCCCTGGATTCTAGGGCAGAGCACACCCGGTCATAGCAAGAGTTGTGCTTCTTGGAGGGTGTGGCTTCGCTGGACTCAGAGGAGTCGCTGACTGTGATGGGGCTGTCTCTTGCAAAGACCTCAGTGGACTCTCTCCATAAGCAATCCACAGATACTTTAAAACAGTAACTGTTAGACTTTGGTCTGGATGTCTGTGTTGCATTGTTGAAAATCTGCCTGCTATTGGAAGTGGCAATTTTGATTTTCAGTGCAGCGTCTACTCGGTCCACTACAGTGTATATTCCTATGCTTCCATCATCAAAGCCCACAATGATGTTCAGGTGCCTCTGAGAGAGTGCAAGGAAAGTTGGCGTTTTGTAAAGGGAACAAGCACCGATATTTTTGCCATCAGCCAGTCTCATTACAATTAAGCTGGATATGGCACCATTTTCTTCCTCTTCTTCCCCATTTCGGAAGCAAATGTAGACCAGGTAGCGACCATCCCGAGACAGCCTTTGCCGCCAGATGACCCCAGAGGCGTGGACTACTCGTAATTTACCACTATGTAAATCGAGCACGTTGATATTTTCATCTCCCCTAGATATAATGCCTAACTTTCCATTGGGAGAAATTTCAAAGTCCTCCAGATTTTTCAAGAAGTTGTTTGGAAGCTGGACACGGCGACAGATCACTTCATCTGTCAGACTCCAGATGTTCACAGTCTCGGCTGACGTGATGAACACGATGATGTCCGGACAGTCGGGGATCAGTTTAAAATTCACAATGGTGATTCCGTCCTCACAGCAAAACTTCTTGGTGATACTTCCTGTCCAAAGGCTGACTGCCAACACTTTGCTTTTAGTCATTCCCACCACGAAGGTATTTGCGGAGGTAATAAAGGCGTTTTGCAAAGTGGTCAGAATGTTGCAGACCCTGTGGCCTGTGGCCAGTCTCCAAACCCTGGAGGCATTCTCCTCACAGAGAGAGACCACAAACTGGTCATTGTGTGTGATCAGCAGCTGAGAGATTCTCTGCCCATTGATTCGGAAGAGGTTTTCCCCACTGCTGGTGTGCCAGACATACTGGCTGCTTTTGTCATCTGATGTCACCATTATGTCTCCGGCGGATGTTAACACACAGTGTTCCACTATGCCTTCATGCTTAAATACTGCTTCAATGAACCCACTGCTGAAGTTCCACTTATGAACACAATCAGAGCCGTCCAGGGAGTAAATGATTTCCCCTCTAGCAGGCAACACCAGACTTTGGATGGGTTTCCCTGTCTTATCTATGTTGGACATAGCTGTGATTATATCTATATCCCAAATAGAAAGAACACCACTGGTTGATAAAGACAGTAGCATATTGTGGTGACTAGATTTCACCAACTTAACAATGGTACCTGAGATTTCCTGTAAGCTTGCCATGCATTGTCCTGTATCTCGTCTCCAAAAAAATACAGCTGGAGTATTCTCCATGGTCGCGATGATACAGTCTCCATTTTTGGACAGCACAGCAGAGACGAAGCGTTCGTTATGCTTGGCTCTGAACTTTTCAGCTACCTTCCATACGCCGGTATGTAAGAGCTCAATGCTAAGAGCTTTACAGATCAGAATTGCACTTTGGTCCTCTGACAGTTCAATGCTGACCACATCGCTGTCTTCTCTTCTGCAGTCAAAGTCATCCGTCAGCTGGGGGTTGGAAATATCCTCGGTATTCCAAACAGAAAGACTTCCCTCACTGTCCACCATCACCATCTCTTGAGCTGTGTCCAAGATAAGAAGAAACTTCACAAACCCACCCGAAAATTCAGATGTCACGGTACATAGCTTTTCTCCACTCCCTAAGTGAAATATGGTGGTAGTGTTCAGGTACTGCCCACAGAAAGCATACACCCCATCCAGAGAGCACTGGACACAGGTCACCTCATACCAGCAGTGGAACTGGTAAAGGGGCCATCCATAGAGCAGATCAATGACAGTAACATCCTTGCTGGCTTCGAGCCAGGCAAGGGCGTGGTTGACAGACAGTGTGAATCCATTGATGTAGGTGGAGCCACTTCCATGTTTGGTTCCTTTGATTTCCACTTCAGACAGGAGACAAGAATTGACATTGTCATAAACCAACAAGGTGTTATTTGTTGTAGCCACCACAAGGTATTTTTCATCACTGGTGAGCTTCATGCCCAGGATGACAGACTGGGCCGTAGTGATTTGCCTGAGTAGCTGGCGAGTTTCTACATCCCATGTGCTGATGGAACCATTTTCTAGAGCGGTGAGGACGGTGCTGGGGTTGGAGGTGGGCAGAATCTCCGTGACGTGCAGGTGGCTGGATGACAAGGGAAGACGCTCGGGGCTGTAGGTCACATCCATGGATGAATGCAATGGCACGATGGAGCAATATTTGGGCCCATCTTTGTCACATTCTAAAAGAAGGTGTCTAAGTTTGGGTAGGGAGCTTACGACAGGAAGCAGTCTCTGCTGTAGCTCTGCTGAAAGGGAGCCAGGAAATGCAATGACCTTGGTTTTGATGCTGCGGAGGGTGCTGGCCAAGAACTTCAGCTCCTTCTCTTGGGAGTAGTTGTAAGCTAGCTCAATGTCGGAAAGCACTTTGTCAAACTGGCCAATTTTGATCATGGTGTAAAGCCAGCTGAAATTCATGATGATGCCATAAAGAAGGTCATCAGTTTTCCCACATCTCGTCAGGTGGTACAGCAGTTCAGACATTTTCCGGTGGTTGACGAAAAAGATGTCGGGCTCCAGGGGATTGCACTGGAAAACCCAGGGCTGATCAGGGGCCTGCCTGTCAAAGGAAGCCTGTTCCAGGAAGTGTTTTTCTTCCTCCAGCAGGCTTCTGCTATCCAAGTCAAGGCAGCCATTCAAATAGGGGTCTTCAAGGCAGAAAGCTTTCCTCCTGCCCCCTGACCAGACCCCCAGAAAATAGTCAGCCAAGATGGTGTGCATTTCACGCAGGCTGCTGTCATCCTGCAGATACAGTTTCTGGGCTATGAGTTGCAGGTGTCTGTTAGCCCAGACCAGGAGGGTGACGTTCTTCACGTGTCTTTCTATTAAATATCCACTGAGACCCTCCTTGAGCCTTGCGATGTACAGATAAGGTACTCTCAGGGGATTGCTGGGCCTGGTGTTCTCGTTGAGCTCGTTCATAACGCTGTTGTCCAGGGCTAACACGTCCTCCAGTTCCATTTCGCTCAAACCCATTTTGGCCATGGTGATGTAACCGAGAGCCCTGGAGACCAGTTTCTGGCCACATTTCTTCTCCAAGGACCAGAATAACTGCTCTATGCTTTCATGAACAGTGACACAGAGGGAGGATTCATCCACGTCTTTGTGGGATCTCCAATGTCTCACCTCTCTGAAGGTCAGGTTCACAAACATGGGCAGCGTGCACTTGGAGAACGCATTGTTTACATAAATCTGCTGGCCTGATGTGACCTTCCTTTTGACCCGCAGCAGCTGGTGTTTGAGGACCTGGCTGCACATCTTCCTGTCCCGGGGAATCAGTTCGATGTAGTTGTCATCGTCATGGATAAGGCACCGAAGTTTCTGCAGGATCCCGTGTTTGTTGGGCAGTGTGGAGAGGACTATCCGCACGAAGCGTGGAAGGTGAGCTGGGAGCCACCAGAGCTTCCTGGCATCGTCGTTCTCCGAGAGCTGCTCCAGGGAGTCAAATATTATTACTAGAGGTCTCTGCAGTGAAGACTCATTCAGAAGATTTATAAATAAGTCCCGGAGGTCATGGATCTTCTTAGGGTAGCTTTGAACCAGACACCGATAGTTAACCGCCAGTTGTTCACAAACACTCAGAAGGAGGGTCCTGAGGTCGGTACTCATGTCTGTCGTTCCTAGAAATCTCACCACGACTACTGGGTCAGATTCTGGTCCTGTGTCTTCATGTAGCCAGCCATAAGCCTAAAATACAGAAGTCGAGTTCAGGATGGTATTAGGTATCTACATGGTCATAGCTCACATTTCCTCTTGCTGGAGCTGAGACTTCTGGGAACATCTACCCTGCAAAATATAGCCTAGAACCACAAAGTGGAAGGACTTTATGGGAAGGCCAATGCACTATCATGGAGCTCAGGCATCAAACTCTACAGGTGAGACCTCAGATAGTAAAAGAGTGTTAATGGTATTATTTAATTCCAAGGCAACATTGAGCCTGAAAATTACAAAGCATTTCATAAATCTGTAAATCTGAATATCTCATGTGGTCAGGTCTTCATCACGACATCCCCATTTCCCAGCACATTTCTTGACATCTGGTAGGCACTTAGTGTTTATTTAATGACTGAATTAAGGATTTACATGTTTTATTAAATATTTTCATTAATTGAAAGCATATCATGCCATCTGTGCATGACCAAATTTCCAATTAATTAGAATGTAATAAAACTATTATGTGCTAAGATTATACTGAATAAAATATTCTATAATTCAGAGACATTTCTATGGTGCTAAAGGGTCACTGTTATATTTTTTTGGTTAAGAGAGTTAACCAAATGTTGGTTAAGAGAGTTTTGTTAGATGCACTTTGTAACAGACAGTTGTGTGTACACGCCTGCAGTCGTCTGTCCTCACATTCTCTCTCTGAAGGGCAGTGTCTTTTAATAGAAGAGGGAACTGAAGCCCAGGCTGGATAAATGACTTGCTCTGAGTTGAAAGGTCACCATAAGACAGAGTGGGAGTTAAAATCATACTAAACATATGTTTAGTATTTTTCTCTCTGGAAAGTCAAAGATGGGAAAGGACATGATCAAAGTGTAAAAATACTCCGAGGAGTGTACTTCCTTGAAGCTGGCTTCAAGGAGTTCAATCTTACCATCCTACAACTGTTCATTGGTGGTTGTTATGGTTTATATATGAGGTGTCCCTCAAAAGCTCTTGTGTGAGACAATGCAGGAAAGTATTGGGTTAACCTAATCGAGGAATTAATCCCCTGATAGGCATTGACTGTGTGGTACCTGTAGGCAGCTAGGGGGTGGCAGGGTGAGGTGGGTCATGAGGCCTTTGGGTATACATTTTGGAAGGACACAAGGTCACAGGAGAGGCAAGCTGTTGTGGATGGCAGGCTAGTCATTCCCTAGGAGAGTGTCACGTGGAATGCAGGGAAGGATAAGATCTCTTGGGGAAACAGAAGCCTGGATTCTCATAGTCAGTTGTGGGCAACTGATAAAATATCCAGAAGACAGAGTGTGGAAAGTCATTTTTCATCTTTGCATTATTAGCACACTGTCCTGTGAGGTTGGCTCATCTGTATAGTCATAGCAGCCCACCCATGGAACCCTTGCCTGCTTGTGCTAGAGCCCGTGGGGACACATCACACCACATTCCATTTAGTTCAATTCACAATATTTGTTTCTTCTACCCCCCTCTCCCTTTTCCTCCTCCACAAGAGGAGCCCTAGAGTGAACATGAAGTGGCACACATGAATGTTCTTACTCGATTTCAGTTCTCATGCTGTCATCATCTTGCTCACTTGGAATAATCCTAAATAATAATTCTTGACTATACACATACAAACCTGGGTTCAAAGGCACACACAGGTATACACATAATTTATTTTGATGTAACATTTCCCTAAATGCTAGTCCATTACCTCATCTGTGCTCAATGAATGATAGGGCCACGTGTGTGTGTGTGTGTGTGTGTGTATGTGTGCATGCATGTATATGTGTGTGTATATATATTTTAGATAGGGCCATATTTTAAAATACATGAATAAAAGCCAGTCTAGGCTTGCCATGCCAAGAAATGGTACGTTAGCCTTCCTAAGGACTTTTCAAGGGCGAGTATTATGCACCTGAGTTTCACCTGTGAGCTTACTGGAACCTAATTCCCACCTAGGGTGCAATTCAGCTGACCCTGCTCTTGTCCTCAGGATTACCAATTCAAGATTGTGTAGCATGTGACTGATTATGAGAATATTCATGAAGTGAAAGAAAGCTCTATTCTCGAGAGTCACCACAGAAGACAATGAGGAGATTCTGAATTAACACCAGAATGATGGAAACCATGATACTTGGGTTCCATGTTGAACAGATTAAATGTGCAGCTAGTTTGGCCCAGTTTAGGCGGAGGAGGCAAGACAACAGCCATCACATTCCAAAGGTCCCAGACCCCAGCAGGACTGGGAAGGGAAGTTGTAAAGACCAGTTTTGCTACTGTCAGTGGACTCTCCACCTCCAGCCTGAAAAAACACTGGAAGGGCTGAGAAAGAAGTTGGAGGTGAGGGTGTGTGGGTCATGCCTCTCCCCTCCCCATCCTCAAAGGGGAGGTCAGAGGAATTCTCACTCTTCACTTCTAGCCCAGGGGAAAGGGCTTCAATGAATCCCTAAAGCCTGGGGGACACAGACAACTGGTATCTGATGACACCTGAAAAACATGAAGGTGGAGTGACAGGTTGGCTCGCTGCTCCCGTGGATGGGGCTGAGGCACATGGAGCTGCTTCACTGCACCTGGCCTGTAGGTCTAGAGATTCTCAGGGTTTCCCACGTACCTAATGTGAGCCACCAGCAAGAGACAGATGGCGAGGGTTTCTGCTTGTTTGCTTTGTTTTCCCAGGTCCTGCTGAAGGAGTTTGCAGGGCTATGGAGAAAATCTTAGCAGAAAGATGGTGGAAATGTGTTGTTAGCAGTCTAGGAGCTGGGAAGGAAAGAGCTAGAGAGAAGATGCATTGCCCTGTAGGTGAGAGATGCTCTGTGGGGACAGGGTGGGAATTTCAGGAAAAGGAAGAACCTCCAAAAAAAAAACACCAAAAAACATGAATTGACTTCTGAAGAGATGGGAGGGAGCTTTAAACACCTGTCAAGGACAGTGAGTTCAAAGCCCAGTTCCTAACTGTACTGGTCATGTAAGAACTTTGTAGTCACCTTACCTTTCTTATTATACCCACTATACTACAACCCATGGGGGTCATGAAGGTGGTTGGGGTTAGAAAAGGAGGAAAGAAGGATTATGTAGACTAAGAAAAAGACACCCATGTCCCCATTCTTACTGCAGGTGTCTTATTTATGGTAGGCCTCAGCAGAGGAGAGAAATGTAGACTAAAATCTTAATTATCTGCTTGGATTGGACATACTAATTCACTGAGCTGAGACTGATTTAGTGAACTGAAGCAACTGGAAAACTAGTCTTGGAGGGGTGAGGTGAGAGGAACTTCTGGGATCAGCCCTGGAATTCATTCAGATGGAGGATCTAGCTCTGTAACACGTGTTCAATTAATGATTGAAAAAAAATTAAAAAGGTTTATGGTTGCACCCCATGAGTCTTGCTCTCCCCTTTTAAATCAAAAAAAAAAAAAAAAAAAAAAAAGATAAGAAATGAATACTTAGGTATCCATTCCAAAAAGATTAATTATAATTCAGATAGTAAGCACAGTATATGGAAATGAATTTGATCAATTAGATTTTTTTCCCCAAAGAATTTTTTTTTTTTTTTTTTTATAAATACAGATGGGAAAGAGCAGACTTTTACCTTCTTTGCTACTTCAGCTAACAGGAGGGTTTTCCCAGTGCATGGTCCACCATATATAATAAGAGGGTTGATGTGCCCAGTTTTGCTTGGAAGAATGTATTTATGCACAATGTTTAGAGCTTCACATTTGTACTCATAGAAGGAGGCATATGTTTTACATAATGACGAATGCTGAAGGATTTCATCATAGAGTGTATCAGTTTCAGTGTCAAAATTTTGCTGTACTGTGGCCTGAATTATATCAATCATGTCCTCATAAAACTGTTTACCAAGTCCTTCTATGTAATGATTTTCTATTTCTTGGGAATAGCCCAGTTTCATGTCACAATGGGTAACAGATGTGTATACTCTCAGATTAGATGATGCGACAATAGTAGGAATAAATTCATCCCTGAGTTTTATCAGCTTCTCTTGGGCTTCTGGGTCACGAATAATCCTTGGTTCTGCTCCAGTTATATCCATGTATTTTCCCATCTCTGGGATTTTCACAAAGCGCTCAATGTTAGCAATTTTTCTAATGTAGCAAACACACTTCTTTAGGAATGCTGGAGTTTGCTTGCCGAGAGCAAAGTCAAACTCATCCTCGATAGCTGGAAGAAAATAAGAGAAGGAGTTTATTGTCTAGAGTGAGAGAAGTGTGCCCACATTCCCCATATGAAGATTAGTTGCTGGTGTGTGGGGGGGTTAGTATAGTTTATAGTGGAGTATTTTGGAACCCAGGAGATTTCTAATAAAATTATGTAGTTTCCTCCACAATGTGAGGAAGAGGTTGAACATCAGCACAAGAAAGCAAGTTCACCAAATTTATAGTTGATACTGCTTAGTTGCCCTCTCAGATATTAGCTGTTCTAAGACTGGAGAAACAGCAGGGACCAGTGTGGTCCAGCTAACAAAGAGGCAGAGGTTGAGAGACACAGTGAGTTGACTTGATGCTAGTTGGTGTGTCCTTTACACTGTGGATTTACCATCCATTTTTTTTTCTTTTTTAAGGTTTATTGTACTCCAGAGAGATATGTTCAAAGGTAAATTCAGAGGCACATTAAAACAAATTCTAATCATGTCTGAAGATGGATCAATTGGAATTACCCATATCACTGTTAAATTCTATTATACCATCAGAAAAGGCACCCACTTAGTATAGAACTTTATTTCATCTAAATTAAACAGTATATGGCTTACAAGACACATGCTTACACACAAGTAAGTACATGTTATAAATCATTTAAGCCTTCATAAAGACATTTAAAACTGAAATAAAAACATCATTGTTCAGGGAAGAATGTTTAAAAAAAAGAAAAACCAGTGGAAGTGAATTTGAAAGGAAGCAGTATGTTATAGCTTAGATTTGGAATGTTCCTCAAGGGCTCATGTGTTGAAGGCTTGGTCTCCAATGCAGCAATGTTCAGAGTTGGGGATCTGGGCAAGTATTTGAATCATGAGGGTTCTGACTTTATCAGTGGATTAATCCATTGATGGATTCATAATCTGATGTAATTACAGAGATGTGGTGGGAGGACCCAGTTAAAGAGCGTGGGTTGTTCAGGTATGTCCTTGGGGACCATATCTTGTCCCCTGTTCCTTTTTATTTTTTTCTCTCTGCTTCCTGGTTCCAGGAGATGAGCAGTTTTTCTCCACCACACCCTTACTGCAATGATGTTCTTCCTCACCACAGGCCTAGGGTCAATGGAGCCTAGTGATCTGAGACCATGAGCCAAAATAAATCTTTCCTCCTCTAAATTGATTTTCTCAGGTATTTTGTCACAGCAATGAAAAGCTTACATTATTTAAAAACTGGATGCCTGAAATTGTTCCTTCCTTCCTACTCCTTTCCTTTTCCCCTTCATCCAGTTGGGCTTTATTGAGTCTGTATGCTATGCCAGTATGCTGATATTTCCTTAGCATAAAATGCTGAGATAAAATAGACAATACTAAAAGACTACATGGATTATCATAGACAAAATGTTTGTGTCTCCTTAAAATTTATATATTGTAGCCTAAATCTCAGATGCTATTTGAAGGTGGGGCCTTTGGTAAGTGGTAATATGATAGATGTGGATCCTTCATGAATGGGATTAATTTCCTTTTAAAGGAGGCCTCAGAAAGCTCCCTAATCCTTTCTGCCCCATAAGGAAGCAGTGAGAAGGTGTCATCTATGAACCACAAAGTGGGGCCTCACCATGCACCAACTATCATGGACTTCCAGCCTCCAAACTGTAAGAATAAAATTCTGTTGTTTATAAGCTGCACAGTTTATGACATTCTTCTACAAGAGCCTGAACGGAGTTAGAGTTCAGTGGAGGACAGCAGATACTAAACCTATATTCCCACAAATAAATGTATTATGATCGTTTTTAGTTTTTCCTGTGACAGAGAAGAACTTTGAGCAACGAGAGCAAACAGTAAGGGTTCTCACCCACTCAGAGAGGTCAGAGAAGGCTTCTCCATGGAGGAGACTATACTACTGGGGGATCTGATGGGAGTGTGGTGTGGGGAGGGCTCTGAATATGCTGCATCGATCTGTCCAGAAATTAAAAAAAGACTTTCAGTGTGCTTCAGTGTTAAGCAAAACCCAGAACACATACACATATATGTTCTATACAGTAACTGTTAAGGAATGTGCATTTTTAAAAAAATGATGACTTTGAGTGAAACCCCTGTGATAATGTTCTTTCCATAACTATAGCAATCAGTCACAATTTATGATTCCAGTGAGAAGATATACCCATATGTGTTCAGTAAGCTGTGCCATGAGCATCAGTATATTTTACAAAGCATTTTAATTAGCAAGCTACTTAAGGAAGTGAAAGGAGATTACATAAGTCTACTCTTCTTTTTATGAAAAAGTAAGAACTTGTTATAAGGAAAACAAGGTAAAACATCACGGGCTACTATAGAAAGCAGCATTCAGCCCAGTCTTTTCCAGCCATCTGCACACAGTGTTGGAGAGCAGACTGGATTAGCAGGTTGCTGCATTCTGAGATAGGAAGAGAAAGGAAGTGGTCCAACTGTGGCATCTATATATGATGCTTAGTAACTTAGTAACCAGAGTGTGCTGCCACCCTGACTCCCAGAAACAATTTAGCTATAATTCAACTAATATTATCACATCTATGAAAAGAGTGTGTCAATCAGGAGATCTGGAGCATAAAAAGAGATGCAAATCAACCAAGATGGAAGGGCTCATCCAAGCTTGGCTTGGGGTAAAAAAGAGGCTGCACATAGAGCGCTTGGAATGGAAAGGACTTTGTGAATATAAATGAGTGACATGATGCACAATCAACTCTGTACAGAGTTATTTTTGGAGGCAAAGTGCATCATTCTGATTTAGGGAGAATTTTATTCATAATTCCTGCATAGTATGGAGCTGGAACATCTCCCAAATGCTCATGTGTTAAATCCTTGTTCCCCAGAATAGTGCTACTGGGAGATGGTGAAACCTTTAACAGCTGAGGCCTAGTGGGAGATCTTAGGTCTTTGGGGGACATGACCTAGAAGGGGATTGTGGGACCTTGGTCTCTTCCTCGTTCTATTTTCATTACCTGCCATGAGATGAATGGTTTTGCCACACACTGCCACCATGATGTGCTGCCTCACCACAGGCTCAAAAGCAGTGGAGGTGGTGGTGGTGGGGCAGTTGATCATGGACTGCAAGCTCCTGAACTGTAAGCTAAAATAAACCTTTTATTTTATTAAGTTGATTATCTTGGGTATTTGTTACAGTAAAAAGAAAGCCAAATAATGCAATACATTTCTGTACAAATATTTTAAAACTTTCCCTCTCCTTAGTAGAAAATACTATATTTGTTTTCTGTCTTTGCACTGTCCTTAGTATACTATAATTATAATAAGTCACACTATCAATGAAGATAACATTGGGAATAGATTCCCAGCCCTGGCAACTGTCATTCATGAAACATTATTCTCTTTACTATTTCCGATGCCACTCAGTTTAGACATTTACAAAAGGGCACAACTTTGGGGTCTAATTTACTTTTCATCTTTTCTTGTCTAAATAGGTGAAATCAGAAATGTGAAAAATCATCATCAAACATAAATAATATACTTTTATAGGTTTTATTCTGTATTCTTATTTTCAAGATTTATAAAAATATTAAAGGAATGTACTAGATCCATTTGAAAGAGCTGGAAATTCTCCAGTAATTTTGATTATGATTGAAGTTTGGCATCATCTCAAAATGAGTTTAAAATGTAAAAGAAAAAAAAATTATCATGACTGTGTCTACCTTTAGCAAATGTAACTCCAAGAAGAAAATAATCCCCTTGCAGTAGTTCACATGAAACAACTTATCCATGTGGACAGAGTTCTTCAGAATGGAGAAAACGAGGAGAAGGTTTTTGCCAATTATAAACACGTGAACCATATGATTGTGAATTAGAGTATGCCTCCCTCAAACTGGTGTATTTTATATAAACAAATAAAAGTTTTGCTGGGCATCTTTTCTGATACAGCACATTTTCAAGAACAGGGCCGTTTTGTCCTTGATAAAGGTGAAGAGCCAGAGATTCAAAAAATGGATCAAAAAGTCCCAAAGGAACAAGGATAAATGTTAACCTGCATATTCTAAAGATAGTACTTATTCCTAGCAATTTTAGTATTTTTTTTTAAACCAGGCCAATTTTTTGTTAGCATTTTTTCTGGAATTTGTCAAAATAATTCATAAATTTCAAAATGACGTGAAGCACACATATCCAGTGAGCATGGGTCGAGAGACTTTTAGATTTTCACAAATATTTTGCTATACCATTTAAAAAGCCCTTTTGAAAATGCATCTATTATTGCTTTTCTCTCAATAATTCCTTACTATCAGCTTTCAAAATAAATGCTATACTATATATATCTGATTACTTGTACCCAGGAGTGTTTGTTCTCTGGAAACAATGACTGACATATTCCTTCAGATTTGTGTTCTCCTGTGCAGCTTTTAATAATGAAGCTTCCTTTCCATGGCTGAGAAAAGATGACAGGTGGGGTCTTTACTCATTGGCTGGGGAGATTTTTATTTTAATATGAAATTAGAACTTGTTTCACACTCTCCCCTGGCTTCCCATTTCACCCAGAATAAAACTCAAGGTTCTGAGGACCTGAGATGACTTTCAGACTTCATCTCTCCCTCTCTGAACCTGACTACCTTGATCTTCTCCCTGGAATTTCTGAAGCACATCCCCATCTCAGTGATTTGAACTTCTAGGTGCCTCTGCCTGGCATTCTCTGCCTTAGTAGACATGGCACTGCTGGCTGAGTCCTTCTTCATTCAGCTCAAAGATCATCTCTATATTGCTCACCCTATCCACATGCAGACCCCATCATTATCCAGCAGCCACAGTTATCCTATTACCGTGCTTTATTTTATCGATACGACTTATCATTTCTGAAAAGATCTTGTTCATTTATTTGATTACTGAACTATCATTTATTTTCCCTTGCTGAAAAATAAGTTTGAGGAGAATGAAGACCTTGCCTTCCTATTCACTGTTGTCTCCCCATTGCTGGGCACAAAGTAGGCCAATAGGCCCATAGAAATTTGCCGGGCAGCTGGATGAGTGAATGAATGAACAGCTCAACTGAGAAGCCATGGCAGAATTTGGCCTTTTATCTCCAGCCACCTCTGACCTCTTTAAAAATCACATTTCTTGGAGAAGCCCTCAAATTAAGTAAAGGCTTTTCTGTGAGTTAAACCAAAAGAACACTTGCCTCTCCAGGACATGGAAATGTTTAGAATAATTCAATTTGCTAGGCAGTAAATGAGATGAGATTTACAGAACCATAAAGGGAAGCAGCAACTGCACCTCTTATTTATCTAGGCCTTAGTTTACTGGGAATGTGTGAAAATTACCTGAGAACAGGTACCTCTTAGCTTGGCTGTGTTTCATTTTACCCTTTTCATGTAACAGTTTGACAGCAGCTTTAAATATCGTCTTGATCTCATCGGATATCTCTTGCCACGGCTTCTCATTTTCAGCATTAGCAGGAGGCTGCATCTATGAAAGTTAGAAGTAAGAAGCCAGTTTTAAAATCATCAAAGAAAAAGTAGTGTTTAAGCACAAGAGAGTTCCTATTACATGGAGGTTGATGATGTGTTGAAACTACAGTAGGCCTTCTATAGACAGTATCTTATTTCATCCTTTCTCTGTGGCCTTGAATGTTAGAAATTATCTCCGTGTTTCATGTGAACTTTTCCAAATTACATAAAGGTGTAGCTCAGACAGTTTTTTGGTTGGACTTTGCTGTTACTTAGATGTGATTTTTATGTGTAAAGTTTCAAGTGCTAGGAGCTTGGTCCCCAGTGTTGTAAGGGGGAGAAATCTTTAAGAGGAGGGGACTAGTAGAAAATGGTTATTTCACTGCGGGGGGTGGGGGGGGTGGAGGGGTGGGGAGAGGGGTTGCTATCCTTGGAAGGGATTAATGCAGTTCTCACGGGGCCCCAGTTAGCTCCCAGGAAAAAGCAGGTTGTTGTAAAAAGAGCAAGCCTGGCCTCTGGGTCTTCCTGTCTTACTGTGTGCTCTCTTCTGGTGTGAGTCCCCATCAAGGTGATGTAACCAAGAGATCCCTCACCAGAGGCTGGAAACATGGGATTAGGGGGTTGCTCAATCTTGGACTGTCAGTCTCCTAAACTGAGCTAAACAAACTTCCTTTCTTTACACAGTATCCAGACTCAGATAATTTTTTAATGGATATATAAAAAGAAAATGGTCTCAGATAGGTTTTCTTATTTTATCATGTTTTCCCTCTTGAGTTTTGATATAAATATCATAACAAAATCATCATTTTAATGTCCTCCAAAAGGGAGACAGTTAAAGGGGAGGTTATTATTTAATTTCCTTTTACTGTTTCCATCTCATTGGTTTGGATGATCTGCTAGGAAATAAAATGGGAGGATTGCCTATCAGGAAATGTTTATATAGTTTTGAGGATAATTTTATTCATACCTCCATTTATTACAGAAATAACACATCAGGTTTTGGGAATAATTTACATTTTCCTAGAGTATTGCAGAAATAACTGAAGATGGAATGAAGCTAATTAAAATAGTAACAATGAGCAAATGGCCCAAACCACCATGTAAACAGCTTCTTGAGGTTTCACATTCTTTGCTATCTACATTTATTCCTAGTGCAGTCTGAATGATTTGCTTCACCCTAATAGTCCCATCCAGAGAGGCAATATTCTTATAGATCACTTTGAAGAATGCATGTTTTGGGGGAAAAGAAAGATCAAGCATTCTGATATGATTACACATTGCACAGAGGAAATGTTTTGTGTTAAATTCTCAAGGACAAATACACAAGGTCCTGAAATGAAGACCAGAAGCTGATCCCTGGTTCTCCTCCTCTTGGAGCTGCTTGGGTGCTGACTGTATCAAGGCTGCTGTCTTCAGGAGAAGGACGGCTCTCTATGGCGTCTTTTCAGTATCTATAAACATTCTATGCAGTGGATAGGCCCATTTTCCCCCTCTTTCTCTTTCATTCAGCTTTAGGTGACTGATGTCTTGTTTCCAATCAAGTTGGAAAGGAGACAAAAATAATGTATCCATAATACTCAGGCACTTATCAACCTTATCCCATGTTTCTGTATATGATACGAGAATATAAATTGATTGTTCAAATTGTTAAAGAAAAAGAATCAAATTAAAAGTTAAAAAATGAGACCATAAATAATGGCAGATTTTCAAAGGACCCACCTCCTTCCACAAAACAAAACAAAAATAAAAATAAAGCCAACACACACACACACACACACACACACACACCTCTTACAAAATAACATAACTGTTGAACTTGAAAACTCAATGTGTGCACAAAGTGGACACAGCTGAAGAAAGTTGCTGAAGTGGAAAAAAAAATCAGAACTAATCTGGAAAGCAAGAGAGAAAAAAACTGGTAATGTGAAAGGGAATTAAGAGCCCGGAAGGATGAATTGAGATGATCTAGAGTACAACTAATTAAAGTATAGAAGAGAAGGAACGGAGGAGAGACAATGTTTGATGAGATGATGGTTAAAAATGTTTGAGAGCTGATAGGACATATGAATTCACAGCTATAAGCATGGCAAATAGAGAAGAATAAATAAATAGACACAGGTTTTAAATTGAGTCAAATAAGAGTGCTTTCAGATAAACAAACATGAGAGAGTTTATTGCTAAAGGAATTCCAAATGCATTAACAAAATTTTTAAAAGATATACTTTTGGAAAAAGGAAATAGCCCCAGAAGGAAAGAGATGCTAAAAGCAAAGGTGAGACAAAATTTGAAACTTTCTTAGATTTGGATTTAGTTTTTTTTTCAAGATTATATTTTAAGGGGTTTCAATGTAGTAGTGTGATATAGGTATACCTGGTGAAATGATTATCACTCTAGAGCTATCATATCTCCACCATCTCCTATGGTTACCAGTTCTTTCATCATGAGAACTCTTGAGATCTACTTCCGGCAAACTTCAAGCAGAGAATACATTATTATTAACTACACTGTGCTGAACAAGAGGTTTCTAGAAATCAGTCGTCTTCTAACTGAAAGTCTGTACACTTTGACCAACTCTTCCCATTTTCCCATACTCTAGTCCCTTTTTATTCTGTTATCCTGAGTTGCATTTCTTTAGATTCCATATATAAATGAGGTTATACAGTGTTGGTCTTTTGTGCCTGGCTCATTTTGCTTAGCAAAATGTCCTCCATGTTTATCTGTGTTGTGAATGGCAGGATTTTTTTTCCTTTTTTTTTTAAAGGTTGAATAACATTCCTGTGTGTGTGTGCGTGTATCATTGATGTACCCATTGTTATGGTATAGACCTTGAATGTCTCCCCAAAGGCTGACTGTGTGTTAAAGGCTTGGTCACCAGCCTACCTAGAGGTGGTAGCACTCTTAAGAGGTGGAGCCTATGGAAGGAAGTGAGGTCACTGCGGTGAGCCTCTGGAATCATGGTCCTTCCTCTCTTTTTGCTGCCCAGCCACCTACAGCTGAGCAGCTTTTTCCCCACCATATGCTCCCCACCATGATGTTCTGCCTTACCATAGCCCCAAAGCAATGCAGCTAATGAAATCCCTTAAACTGTGAGCTGAAATGGATTTTTTTCTCCTTTAAGTTGATTTTACTGGGTATTTTTGTCACAAGAACAGAAAGCTAACACATCCATTCACCTGCTTATGGACACTTAGGTTGTTTCTATATCTTGGCCAGTGTGAGTAATGCTGCAGATGTCTCTTCAAGATAATGGTTTCATTTATTTGGGTCTATGTACCCAGAAGTGGAATGGCTGGATCATAAGAGCATGAACTGTTCTAGTGTTTTCCATAGTGGCTATTTCAATTTACAATGCCCCCAACAGTGTACCAGGCTTCCTTTTTTCCACATCCTCACAAATACTTATCTCCTGTAGATAATCACCATTCTAACAGGTGCAAGGCGACAGCTTCTTGAGGTTTTGACCTGCATTTCCCTGATGGTTAGTGTGGATTCAGCTGTTAAATTTATGGTCCAGGGTAGAGTGACTTCCCACCTGTTGTGGTTTTCAGCAAAGAAAGCCACCCTGGTGTGACATGAACAGTTTTTGGTAATGGAGAGAAGGGTGACTTACTGCATTCTTATTGTTTCTCAGCATTTCTGATTTGGGTCTGAGGTAATAAGCTGCTGGCACGGAGTTCTCATCTCGACAGTACCACTCTTCCAGTAGCTTAGTCTCCATCTTGGCCTCTATGGCAGCATCCAGAATCATTTCAAATTCTGAGGCTTCCACTTCTCCGGGGATTCGGATGTTCCCATACTTTTCACCTAATAGTCCCTGTGTATCAACAAGAAAGTTCAGTTTAGTGTATCACCAAGAAAGTAGTCATTTTAGTAGTCAAGGCCTGTGGTCACTCAGTAAATAGGAAGGTAGAAAGCAAGGTACATTGCTTTATTAGTTTTCTCTTTCACCACAGCAGACATTTGATGTCAGAAGTAAAATTAGATTAATTTTAATACAATTATAGTAACAGATTATTCAACATACCAAGAAATGAGCTTGTATATCACAGCAGACAAATATAAAATACATGATTTCCATAGCATAAATTTACTTTCTTGAAGTTCATATAGTACAACAAGAGCTTAGAGATTTTTTTTTATATTTGTTGGTGGCAAATAAAAACAACATGCTAAACCTTATGAAATGTCAAACATACAAAGCCTCAAACAAAAGAATTGCTCTGTCAAGAGTTGATAGTCTGATTCTAAGCTCCAGATTCACACAGCTACGCAGGACATAAATACAGTATCCTCGGATGCTCCATTGGCAGCTGAAAAAAATTCAAAATATCAACAAAATAGCATTTTCTCCCTATGTAATTGGCAACCCCAATATGAACAAACAAACAAAAATATTGCTCAGTTCTACAGGAAGGTGTGAGAAAATAACAATATTGCCATTGGGTATGTAAAATGATCTAATGTTTCTCTGTAGTGTGCTCTGACCTTCCGTCTTTTTAAATATTTTTCCCATTTGTTCTAATTAGTTATACATAACAATAGAATGCACATTGACATATCATACATAAATGGAATATAACTTCTCATTCATCTGGTTGTACATGATGTAGTTACACAGGTCATGTAATCATATATGCACATAGGGTAATAATGTCCGATTCATTCTTCTATCATTCATACCTCCTTCCCCCTCCCCTCCCCTCACTCTTCTCTGTCTAGTCCAAAATACCTCTAGATCTTCCCCTGCTCCCCATAGTGAATTAGCATCCACATATCAGAGAAAACATTTGGCTTTTGGTTCTTTGGGATTTGGCCTTATGTTTTAAAAGCCTTACAAATCCATATGACTTCTGACCTGGAAGTTTTTCTTCTGGGAATCTGTCTTTAGACAATCATTAAGAATGTACATAAAAATTTAACAGGCTATTTATGATGAAATTGTTTGTTTGAACAGGTTGATATGACAACCTCAATGAACAGCAAAGGGAAACATTTAAACAAATTAAGATCCATTCATTCAAAAGGATTTACTAAATTATGCTGTAGAACTACACCAGCTAGGAAAGAGGTTTATAAAGTATTATGAAGAGAAAAGGAACCGTGTGTGGGGTGCACACCTGTGATCCCCACAACTCATGAGGCTGAGGCAGGAGGACCAAAACTTCAAAGCCAGCCTCAGCAACTTAGCAAAATTTTTTTAAAAAGGGCTGGGGATGTGGCTCAGTGGTTAAGTTGCTCTGGGTTCAATCAGAGAGAGAGAGAGAGAGAGAGAGAGAGAGAGAGAGAGAGAGAGAGAATGCAGTCATATAAGATGATTACAATGTTTTACACATAGAATATTACATATATTTGAGAAAAGACATATTATAATGTTGATATGTATACACAAGCATACCTATACATATAAGAGAGTTTAAAATAATACATAGTGAGACTTTATAAGAATACAATTTTACTCAAGGTATTTTTGAGTGGATGGCTTTAAATTCACTTAGGTTGTATTATAAACTTGTAGCAGGTGTGTAGATTTTTAAACAGTGATGCTATTGCTAGTTCCTTGTGGAGTCACACTGTCAAGTTTGCTCAAGCCAGTGATTCTCAAAATGTGGTCTCACAGCATCAGCAGCCCCTGGGCATTTGTTAGACATGCAAATCCTCAGGCCTGTTTCCCAGACTCAGTCAGAAACTCTGATTAAAGAGCTGAACAATCTTTGGTTTAACAAGCCATCCAGGTGACTGAACTTCTGGTTGTTCTATTAGCTTATAATAATACTGGAAATACCTAATTATCTTCAACATCTTTTTTTATTCTTTTTGGTACTAGAAATTAAACTCAGGGGTGCTTAACCACTGAGCCACATCCCCAGCCCTTTTTCTTGTATTTTATTTAGAGACAGGGTCTCTCTGAGTTGCTTAGGGCGTCTGTAAGTGCTGAGGCTGGCTTTGAACTCGAGATCCTCCTGCCTCAGCCTCCTGAGCCAATGGGATAACAGGTGCATGCCACCATACCCGGCAGTCTTCAACATCTTATATCATGGAAACAAGAAAGGGAAGACCCAGGACTCTTACATGAATCTACAGCATACATGGCAATTGTGTCTGCTATAGAGTATTTGTGTTTAACCCATTTAGTCCCAAGGTTTCAATTCTGCAAGTATTTCAGTGAAATTGACACATGTGCATTAAAATATGTTGGAAATCATCATCTAGAGCTTACTTTATGGTTAGTATCCTCCATAATATTAATGATATCATTTGTGATATTAATGAATATTATCACTAATTATTCACTTATAACTTTTTTTCTTAAAAGAACATAACTCTAAAAAACATAAATCTTCATTTCAAAATTACCATAAAGTGGTATATTTGTGGCTCAAGTAAAGCTTTTGAGGTGTTCCCGAAGTGGGGCGATGGGGCATATGGGGAGCTTTCCTCCTGCTGACGTGCACCTTTAGCTTAACAGCAAGCTCGTCTATCCACTGGAAGGTGAGCTGCTGTTTGGGCTTCCCTAGGGGCACTTCTGACTAGTTCTGCTGCCTTCCAGAACAAACTTCACAGTGTCTTTTTATCTGATTCAGGCAAGGGAGAGAATCATAAAAGTCCCTAGTAGATCTCTGTCCAAAAGAAGTTCTGTGCAAGATGGCAAGCCCCAGGGTGAGGCCAGAGCTGTGTATTCCTGGTGTTAGGTAGCTAGTCAGCCAGGCTGGGTGAGTGCAGAAAGGAGGACGAAGGGACTGGAAGCCACAGGGAGCCTCATCGGACAGGCCAGCACTGGAAGTCCAGGCCTGGAACGTCAAAAGCTCCCCTAGCCGTAAGTACACCCCCTTCAGGAAAGCTACTGATTCAAGACGATGGCACACCTGACCAGGTGGTCTGTACCCTCCCTTGTCACTGTCCCCACCCTTAATCATCCTGGGAACCAAAACATCAAGATCCTCATAAGAGAGCTTGCTGGAGGATAATCACAGTGCAATAAACTGATTCAGGGGATGGGCAACTGAGGCAAAAAGAGAGGGACTCCATTCCCTTAGAAACTCCTATTCCACACCATCCTCTTTTGGAGGTGGGTCTGTGCAGTTCCTATGTTGTCAGTCAAAGGTCAGTGAGTAGATGGACCTGGGCAGGACTCTCTGGAAACTTTCCTGGGACCTCTACCCGTGATAAAGCTGGAGGGCAACAAGGGCACACTGTCCTTCTCTTCTCTCTCTCTTTTTGTACTGAGAATTGAACCCAGAGGTACTCTGCCACTGAGCCACTTTTTTTATTTTGAGACACAGTCTCACGAAGTTGCTAAGGGTCACACAAAGTTACACACACTGGCATTGAACTTGCCATCCTGCTGCCTCAGCCTCCTGAGTGGCTGGGATTGTAGGTGTGTGTGACCATGCCCTACCCTTCTCCTCTCACCCTCTATCTCCCTCAAGAGTGTTCCCTTTTTCCTTTCCCTGTCTTTTCTAATAAACTCATGCTTGTTACTCTTGAGTGACGTGTCTGAAATCTTCCGGGTAGGGTGAAGAGGCCCCCCCCGCCCCCCCAGTCTGAGCTTTGCCGCAGGCCTTGGGGCCTGTAACACTAGCACATGTAACGTATTTAAAAAATTGTTGGATAAATGAACCAAGACAAGAAAATCTTTAAAATTTGTCTCTTACCTGAAGCTTTTTCTTGTATTCAAACACAACAGCTCAGCTCCCACAAGGTAGAGGGACAACTTGGGAAGGTACCAGTTCTTTGCAGCCACTCTAATTTCAACCCATAATCTTTAAGCAGGTACTGCATAAACACATCTCTGGTTGAAGTCTGCCTTGCCTCTCACTTTAGTACATAAACTATCTTACATAACTGACTTACTAAAGGTGACTGGTTAACTGATCTCACAGATTCAAGCTTAGTCTTCTCTGTACCAGCCCCAATAACAAGCAGGAGGTAGATACAACCTGTCTGTTCTCTTTGGCCACCACAGTCCCTTTTGGAAGGGGCTTGCAAGGAGAGGCTTCACTTTATTGGTATACATTAATCCAGCATGAGCTACAAGGATTTCATAGAGGGCTCTTTTGGGATAAAATTGTCCCCATCCCAACTCACTGTATTAGCCTGAAGTGCAATTAAGAATGCTCACACTTCAATTTGCATTGGTTTTGGGTCATTCTTGTTGATAGGCTATTTTAAACAAAATTCAATTTTTGAAGTTGTTTTTCAACATCTAATGGTGTCTCTGTTAAACAAGCAGGCATGATCGGCCATTCTACCACAGATACAAACAGAAATGATCTTTTTTTTTTTTTTTTGGTTAACCAACCTACGACTCTTGGCTCATTCTGGATAAGGTTAGTCAGCACTTCACTTGGGACTGTGTGTCATGAAGTGGGGTGGGTGATCATGTACTGGGTGATCATGCAACAAATCCATTTGAGAAAGGTAGGGAATCCCTGGCAAAATCCAAGCAGGCATTCGGGTAGAGTTTGGTCCTGGGTGGAGGACCAGAATATGGGGTTTAGTAACTGATGACTCTCCATCCAGAAGCCAGCACAGTTTGGGAATATCATGGCAAGACCAGCTGGATTTTGCCAATGAAGAGGGAAGAGGACAAAATAGTGACTAGTGAAACAAGATCTTCTCTCAGTGGACCACAATTATCGCTAGCTTAGGAAGGTACTAATTGTTGGCTGTTCATCTTTCTGCTCTAAATAAAGTGTGCCCCAAGACTAGAGTCAAGTCAAAATTATGAATCAGTTTTCAAATGTGCTCCATAGCTTACATGCATGATCCAGGATGCTTGTAACATAAAAAGCAGATTTATAGGTCCCTTCTCAG